GGCCAAGTACGAGCAGATCTACCTGGAAAGCCGGGACATGCGCGGCGACGTGGCCTTTTCCTCCCTACAGGACCTCTACGACTCGCTCGACGTCCCCGATACCGACATCCGCTCCGCCTGGAACCTGGTGAACCCGGCCGCCGCTCCATCGATTGGCAAGGACGCCGCCCTTGCTTTCTTGCACATCCTCAACTACCGCCACGAGGGCTTCCGCATCCCGCGCACCGTCCCTGCCTCGCTGCGCGCCAGCTTCGAGCGCAACCAAATCGACTACCAGGTCGGCAACGCCAGTACGGCCGCCGCAAACTCACGCTGGGCAACGCGTGCCGACGACAGCACGGCGACGGGCCGCAAGGCCAAGTTTGGCGACCAGTACCTGACGCGGCTCGGCCGTAGCGGCTTCAAGGCAACTGGCACCGACTTCTCGACGGCACAAAAGACCGAAGACTGGGAGGAGGTGCGCCTTAAGAAGCAGCTGGCCGAGCTGGAGAGCCGTATCCAAGAGATCGAGGCGGGCGCAGCGCGGCGGTCTGGGTCCAAGGCGAGTGGCGGCAAGCGTGACACCAAGCCTGCGCTGATCAAGCGCGAGCTGGAGCAGCTGCTGGACTACAAGCGCCAGGAGCTGCGCGACCTCGAGGAGGGCACGGGCAAGGCCAAGGCCGGCAGCGGTCTGAAGGGTGTGACAGATGACCTGGCAACGGTGCGCGAGCAAGTAGAGAGCTTGGAATCACACCTGCGGCAGCGTGAGCAGGTCCTCGAGCAGCTGCGTCGCGACATTGACGATGCCAAGGCTGCGAGGTGAGATAGTGTGGCGGGATAAGGTGTGGCTTTTGGTGGTTATATTCCTGTTTTGAAAGAGCGAGACAAAATTTTTTTTTCATTAACTTTTTGGGTTCACGTCCCCTGTGTCCTTTACGTCTTGGCCTCCAATGTAAATATTACTTTAAAGAGGCGCCATCAACATGTCGAAAATCAAAACCTATTTTATTCACTTTACGAATATCAGTCCACCTAGCGACCCAACAAACTTGAAGGCCTCGAACCGCTCGCTGTTAGATGAACTAGTATAAGGCATAAACTAAGACAGTGAACCAAAAACAAACTCCGGGGTATTCCTCCTCATCCTTTCTCCCTACTATTCGAAACGACCCGTTCTGAAATCACTCCATTTTCTCGGCACTCCCACTACGCCGCGCTGCCGTCCCGGAAACCTGAAAGCATCTGCAGGCCCAGTGTGCGCGCCTTAATATACCGCACAGCCAGGGACGGTAGGCGCAACGAGCCAAGACGGCCCGTACCACGGTTGGGGCCGGCCGCCACAACCAAGACGTCGACAGGAAGCAGCTTCACAGCCTGTGGCGCCTTGCCCTTTAAAACAACGTCTACGTTCTTGGCCACGCCCTCGGCCTGTTTCATCGTGATGACAAACCCAGCACGCGGCTTGCTGACAATGTCGCCCACGGCCCAAACGTCCTTGCTGGCCACGCCCTTGACGTGGTAGAACTCGTCGACATCGACCGTCTTGCGATCAGTGAGGAGGGAGGCGTCGAGGTACTCGGTGTTGGGCGTCAGGCCCACGGCGGCCAGGTATAGATCGGCGACGAGTGGCTCCGAGGCGCCTACCACGGTCAGCTCGACGCGACCATCGGGCAGTGTGTGTGCTGCCGAAACGCCAGCGCCAGTGCGCACATCGACGTGCAACTTCTTCAGCTTGCTGAGGGCGGATCCGGCAATCGCGTCGCCACTCAGAATTTTGGCATCGGCCGATAGCAAGACAATTTCTTTGCCACCCTTGTCGGCCGGCTTGCCACCGAATGCATGGCCGAGCTCAGCAGCGACCTCGACGCCCGTGGCGCCGCCGCCAGCGATAACAATGCGCTTGGCGGCCTTGACCTTCTCCCGCGTGGTGTCGAGAAGGGCCGTGATGTCTTCATAGGTGCCGTCTGCCTTCCATGGCGTCGCAGGGACGGCTTCGTCAGCGGCGGCATCAGCACGCCTTTCCGGCTGGGTGTTCCGGGAGCCTGTGGCCAGGACAAGCTGGTCGTAGGAGATGGCCCGTTGCTCTGCGGTGCCAGGGATGGCAACCTTGACTGTCTTGGTGTTGGTATCGACAGACTCTGCCGAGCCAATGACAATCTCATAGCGCTCCTTGGAGTAGCGGGAGAGCGCATCTGCTAGAGATAGAAACAATTGCTTGTCCTCGACACTTCCCGGCACAATGGCGCGCACCGAGGCGAGGTTCCAGTAAAAGTGGCTGTTCTGTGCGCGTATTAATTTGTGTTTGGAGCTGGTAGCAAAAATAAGATACGACTGGGGCGCACCTTGGAAACTAGGATGACTTTCGCCTCCTTGTTATTTTTTAACAGGCTGTGGGCGATCTGAAGACCACCATATGCGCCGCCGAGAATCACGACTGTGGGAACCATTTTGGGGAAAATATTTGGCAAAGGGAAAGCCGGTGCAACGAGTAGGATGCTTGTTTTGGAAGCTGTGAAGGAGGAAAACCGTACAAATAGGAAAGAACAGAAAAGAAGCTTGGATAGGAAGGTGCAGGGTAATACAAAATACAAGTGTTTAAGGAAAGAAGCTACCTGGCTGTTCCTTCTGTCTAAAATAGAGACGGTGGGCTAACTGGGGGCGAGACTTCCTTTTATGGACTGCTCTAGATCAAAGGACTAGCTCGACCTGAAGCAATGTCGCGATCAACGTATAGGATTTGTATTTATTTGACAAAACGGTGTGTACCAGGCTTGAAGAGATGAGCTTGCGAGTCTGGGCGGGGCGAGCAATTTCAAAACGTCGGATCCAAGTCAGAACCAGAAAAAACTATGAAGACGGGAACGAAGGTCAGTCCACGCGGCGGGTATCGAGGCGGCCCGAGCAAAATAAGAAGAGAAAGACGATAGATACAATAAGCCAAGAAGTACACGTAAAAAAAGGAGGTTGTCATATTACTACGACAAACAGCTTTTTCCATTCCCAGTTACCTGGGAGGTCGGAGCGTGGTTGCTTGTTACACTGACGACTAACAACTCCTATCCTGGACGCGAAATTCAAAAGACATCGTTGCTCCGTTTCCGGACGAACTATGCGTACTCTCTGCTTACTTCTAACCTGGGTTATCTTTCGATAGTTATTTCGGTCGAATACTTGCACCACTTACTCTCCCGTACAGGACTTGTGTGTTTCGCTCACTTCTGCCCCTGGTTGTGCTCCGTGGCACAACTCTCCCGTGCGATGTCCGTGGCATTGCGTCTGTGGCATTGCGCCAGTGGCCATTTGGTGTATTATTCCTTATGTCTCTCTGCTTTGTAAAATGAGAAACCGGCAGTATGGCCAGACCTGGCTACGTTGATAATGAAAGCTACACTCACCTCGTCGTCTACCATTCGCTGGCCGCTCTCGCCTCGAGAGGATACAAAGGATAATAATCCGTATACTGTCACCGTATTGTTTTCTTGTGTAATTAATTCGTAAGGCGTACGACATAAAGAGAGGCTATCTAATACGGGGCATTAAACCATGCACCGTACGACATGGTGCATATACGTAATTATATTACGATAGACATTCGGCTTTTATTTCGGTGCCTGTGACCCGGTTCCTGGAGCCCAAATACTTTTTCTTTTCTTTTCTTTTCTTTTAATTTTTTTTTTTTGGGGAATTGAATATTAGCACGAGGAGATATTTTTTCTTAACACGACGCTATTAGCATCAATACAAATACTTAGACCCCCCGCATGTTTCTCTTGTTGCTTTTTCGTTTTGCAACCTCGGGGTTAGTATCGTCACGGACCTGAAATGATTTAACTTGTTCCGAAGGCGGCTTGATGGCACATTTTCTGTTGCAATAGGCAGCACCATTAAATCCTTGACCTACGATTTCGATCATCCTTGCAAGATGCGCGGAGTAAGCCACTAGATGATACCACAGAATCGGTGTCGGAGTTTCCAAAGACCGTCGATGGCAACGATGCGAAGATGCAAAACATGACAAGATGGCGACGATGCCAGATTGCAAAACCACTACCGTCCCGATGTCAAGAGACTTGTCGGTCCCGAGACGACAGCTTTGCTGTCCGCGTGTCGACCAATGGCGTTTGGGCCAGGCCCCCACTCTTTTAGGTCCAAGGGCAGCGACCGGCAATTGAGGCTCTGACCTGTTTTGGGGGCAGAAACCTTTGAACTTTGCTTTCCGCGTTGCGTGCCGATTCGCAGACCTGTTTGCAGAACGAAGCTTTGAATGGCATTGTTCATGCGCGACGGCCACGTTTGCTTGCTTGCCGAGCTCGCTAAGAACTGGGATGAAAGGGCGGGACGGGAGCACCTCATTTTGTGTAACTGCGATCCATTGTTCTTCCATCTGAATATTCCACACTCTCTGCCCCACGCATAAAGCACGTGCCATTGGGTCGGAAACCAGACGAAAGGATACGAAATTGTCAACGATGGAAAGAGCTATTCCGGGGGTCGAGAGCAACCAGCATTTGAGAAAGAGAGAATGACACGCAGGGAAAGAGCCATGCAGGGCGCCATGACAAGCCTCTACACTAGTCGGAAGGCGCGGTGTGCCTTCGTGTGGCTCTGAAGCTGGACACCTGCTGTGGCATGTGGACAGAAGGCAGCTGGAAGGAAGTGACCACTGCACGCGGTTTCCATGTGATATGCGCATGATCTAACACAAGCTTGGGCGGGGCAGAGAAAGTTTGCAGCACAGCTTCACGCTGTGATTGCTGGTGGCTCCATGCAGAGACGCACGTCGTTGGCTTGCCTTCCCTCGAACCCCGCCACGCCCCAACCAAGGAAGGTAAGCCCAACAAATCAGGGGTGAAGACTCCCGTCAGCTAAGAAACCGTTCCATCTTCTCTTCCCCCTCCTTACATTCTGACGTTTCTTCCATCTTCTCCTCTCTCGATCTCCATCGTTTCTCGACCGTGTTCCTTTGTCTTTATATTTCACACAGAAAGCAACGAACGGCCAATAAACAACCAACTGTCATCATGTCGGCTGCCGCTTTCGAACAGGCCACTCAGGACATCCTGAAGCTGACCAAACCGGTTGAGGATACCGTTCAGCTTCAGATTTATGGTGAGTACCGGTGTCTGAGAGCGCTGGTTACGAGATAGCCTGTTGTGATCACTTTCAAGAACACTGATTTGGCTGATGTTTCTTTTGATACAGCTCTTTACAAGATAGCCAGAAACGAGGATATCTCCAAATCCAAACCTGGCATGTTTGATATTAAGGTATGTGACGTTGTTTTCTACCTGACTCTTGCGATCTACGAATGACTGACCTATCCCAGGCCAAATATAAGAAGAATGCGTGGCAAGCTAGCCTCGACAGGGGAGTCACGCCAGAGCAAGCTCAGAAGGAATACACTGAGACGATTGAGAAGCTCAAGGTCACGCATGGTTATGATCCCAACAAGGTCCCCGAGAAGGTCCGCGCATAAATGGCACGACGCTCAGCTATGTGAACGGTTGGAAACTGCCAAGAAAACAAGAGAGTCGAATGGAACAAGGAAAATCGTGGGAATGCGCCTGAGATAATTTCTTGAAGCTGGGTTTAACAAAAGACAAATAGCACCAAAGCACCAGTTGTGTCAGTTTCTATGAAGCTTCTTAAATGTTTCTGTGAGAGTCCCAATGTGCTATGTCAGTCCTCCCAGCGAATGGCAGTGTTGCCCCTCCAATCCGGCTCGATGTGTGGTAAGCTGGTGACCCATGGAATTTCGTCTGCGCTGTAACGTTGAAGCGGCAAGCTATACGGGATACGTAGCGGCACATTTGGCAGGCCGTCAGCATCCTGAGCGCCCTCGGCAGAGATACTACTTCTGAAGGACGCTGCAGGTATTAAGGCTGAATCTTCTCGCACTTCGTGGCCTATTTGCTCTCCAGTCGATGGCGCATCGGGTTTGAAGTCATCGCGCCCAAACACCGGTTGCATCGTTGCGCCGGGAATCTCCGTTAAGAGTTCGGGCCATACAAGCACGCCGAGCTCGTACGATGCGATACGTATCTCACCCGCTGCCGAGCGAGCCTCGCCCCAGGCCTGCTTCGAGAGATTGGCAGATGTCAACAACGCCCAGTCAATATAAAAGCCGTCGTGGCAGTTGCTATAGCGCACATAGGTCTTCACATGTGGTGCTGCTCGCCGGCGTTTAGCGTCACCTGCGCATCTTTTGCCGTCGCCTGTTTCAGATGTGATCGCTTCGCCGTCCTCCGAATCGTTTGCCCAATGGCACATCATGGGGCGCATGTATGCAAGCTGTCTTTGTTGTTGTGGTGACTGAATTTTGGCATGGATCGAAGATCCCGAAACGTAGCCCTCGAGGGACCTCCTGATCTCGTCGGCAGTTGGAAACATGACACGAAATATTGGCTTTGGTGGTGGCCGCTCTTGGGGTTGTCGTAAAGAGCCGAAACTGATAGCTTGTCGTGAAGATTTCGGTGTGGACTTGCTGGTCGGTTTCCCGCTCGACAATGCTGGAAAAAAAGTCTTCTGCAGCCAGACGTCAGTGCCACCGAGAGTGGCAATGGATGACACCTGTATCACAATCTCATCTGGTGAGGATTGGCCTGGCATTACTTGCCGTGACCCCAGGGGGGCATTTTTCAGTGCTTGCTTCATAGCCAACCAACCCCATCGCGTGTGGGCAATGCTGTCTTCGTCTCCTGCCGTCAGGTTTTGTCTAACGGTTTCTTCCACCTCATCTTCTTCAGGAGAAGGTATATGATGTCGCCCCGGCACACTTCCGATGAGTACAGCACGGACGGCCGAAAAATCATATTTTTGCAGCGCCTCTACAAGGGGACTGCATACTGATCGTCTCTGATTGTAGGAACGAAGGTAATTTAGGAAGTCATACTTGAACCTAAGCCCAACACCGCTTTCTTCTTTATATTTGACTTCCGTGTTTCCGCTTGTCAACAGTGGAAGCAAAGGAGAACGCCACACCGCCTGTGTCATGTTACACCAGTCATGGGGGATCAAATTGGCTGTGTGAATGATGATTTGGGCCGTGTCATCGCTGCGGAGGAGCACCGCCATCTTTGTATGATGTGTCCCGAAAGGCTCTGGCATGAACGCAGTGTGTAGCGTAATAATGCCACCGTTTTGGCTGCTGTCTTTTGAATATTGCCGCGCTGCTTTCTCAAGCTGCTCACGACGCGGATCTTCGCGCTTCCAGAAACCGTGAACCACATGCACATTCAAACCTCGTTGTCGTGCGCCGTCGTCGAACGAACTCATCAGAAAGTCTAGGTCGTGCAGAAAGTTGAACTCCCAGCATTCAAAAACGCGTGGGTCGCCGAAGATGTCACGCACCGTAACTGTGTCGATGTTGGCTGATGCCGGCAAGTCGTGGATGGCCGTAAGGCGAAACGGACTTTTGAGCGTAGGCCGAGATGGTTTGGTGGTCTGCTCTTTGCCTTCATTGAATGCTGCCTCTGTTGCTGCACTGACAAGCATTCGCTCGCCCAATTCTCCTTGACCTCGTCGCCTCTTCCGTGGAGGGCTGACCGGCGTCGACATCGACTTGAGAACCAACGGCCCATTTTCGACGCCTTCTATTTCCCTCTTAGTATTCGAAGGGGAAGGGGACACGCGATACCGCTTGGAAGGCGTTTCCTCGCCCTCCATCCTCCAAGACCTGATGTCGGCCAATTTGGGTCACCTCAATCCCGGTCGTTATGTCGTATCCGCGTCGGCGAAGGATGGGTGTTATAAAGCTTGGGTAGGTGTTATTCGGGGTTGTGCTTGTCCCTTTGTAGAATTCCATTTTGTCTTTGTGTCAAGCCTTCCGATTGAATATGGCCCAAATTGAGGTCTGGCTTTCGGGGAAGTCGCGGTCCCCCGCTAGTACGACGAAGGCCTAGAACTGTTCCAATGATAGGGATGTTGCCTATGGCCCAATTTTGCGGAGTGCTGCAAGTATAAACTCAAATGAAACACGACTTATCATTGGTTGCTACACAGGACAGCCCCTCTTTCCCCCGTAAGATTGCGCTGGTTGTCCTCAACTCCTGAAATGGAAGGAATCAATGTGCAAATGGGGAAGAGTGACAGCCAACGCTTGGCAGATAATTTACCTATCAAAATACACGACGGCGTCCTTTGGCAGCTCACTAAAATCTAACGAAAGCCACTGAAAGTCAACCACCAAACGCCCTAAGACCACTTGTCAGCCATATCTCAAAACGGGCCTATGAGAAATTCAGGCTTATCTGCTCGCGTTTCCACCTCGATTCCAGCATTGCCTCTTTGGCTTCGTTTTCCTCTCAATTGAACCAGCCCTGCGACGCCCTCCTACCTCATACTTTCGCTCATTTTGGGCCTCCTTCGACGCTCATCTCCATCTCCTTCCTCTTCCTTCTCCGAGAAAGCGTGTGCCGGTGGGATTTCACGCCGTGTTTCCTTGCTGACAGATCCAACTCGGCCCCGAATCTCCTCTTCCCTATTCGCCGATCCTCAATACCTTTTCCGTCCTACCTCCCCTCGAAAGCCCGGAGGCCTTGTCTACAGTGAAGGCGAGATCGCCTCGTCTCTGCTGATACTTAACCATGCGGCTGTCATCGCTTCTGCCCTTGCTGGGCATGGCGGTGGTCACCGTCGCTGCCGACGATGCGAAGCCTGAAGCAAAGGCTGGAGCAAAGGCTGAAGCAAAATCTGACGATGTCGAGAAGCCGACGATTTTCGACGGTATTAAAGTGCCACCGCTGATCAACCTGACACCCAAGAACTTCGAAGAACAACTCAATTCGACGAAGTATCTTTACGTAAAGCATTATAGGTAAGTGGCACTTGGCACGGGTCTCCTTTTGTGTGTTGTGTATTGTTGTTCTGACAGCATTTAGTCCATACTGCCACCACTGCAAGAAGTTTGCCCCAGCGTTCCAAACGACATACGAGTACTACTACACCGAAAAGGTTGAAGGGAGAACGACAACGTCGGCTGAGCACTACGGCATCAAATTTGCACAGATCAACTGCGTTGCTTTCTTCGACTTGTGCTTCAAGAACGGCATCCAGTCTTACCCGACGACTATTCTCTACGGGGACCGCAAGAAGATTGTCGACATCAAGGGCGTAAAGAACGGCACCATCCTCAGTCACCATCTTGAACGCGCCCTAGACCGCGACTTCCCTGGCGAGCGGCCGGCGATTCTGTACCTGCCCGGCGAGGGCGACTCAGTCCACCCCCGCGGAAAAGAAGACGCCGGCGAGATTCTTGACAAAGCTGCAATCGCTGCGGCTGACAAAGCCAAGGCTGAGAAGGCCAAAGCGATCAAGGAGAAGGCCAAGGCTGCCGCCAAAGACAAAGAAGTGAAGAAAACAGACCCAACGACCACTGTGGAGAAACCCAAGGAGGCGTCTGCTGCTCCGGCGATTGTTGTTCCCACTCCTGAGGATGTCTCTGAGAAGACTCTCAAAGCTAAAGATATCGGTGGTATTCCAGCGGACAAAAAGAGTAGCAAGGGGTCCGGCGACCCCAAGAAGAAGACTACACCTCCTGTTCCGCTGTACCGTGGACCGCCTAAGCCAACGACTCCCCAGAACCCCAACGGCGCCTCCGTTCCACTGACAGCTGAGACTTTCCAAACGCTCGTGACGATGACTCAGGACACCTGGTTTATCAAGTTCTACGCCCCTTGGTGCCATCACTGCAAGGCCATGGCCGCGAACTGGGAGCAGCTGGCTAAGGAAATGCAGGGCAAGCTCAACATTGGCGAGGTGAACTGCGAAAAGGAGTCCCGCCTCTGCAAGGACGTGCGCGTCCATGCTTACCCGACGATTGTTTTGTTCCGCGGCGGCGAGCGTGTCGACTACGAAGGTCTGAGAGGCCTGGGCGACTTTGTGTCGTACGCTAACAAGGCACTGGATGCGGTTGCGGGCGTGCAAGATGTGAATGCTGCCAGCTTTGAGGCGCTGGAGGCCAAGGAGGAGGTCGTTTTTGTTTATTTTTACGACTTTGCCACCACCAGTGAGGACTTTATGGCGCTTGAACGTCTGCCTCTCAGCCTGATAGGCCACGCTAAGCTGGTCAAGACGAACGACCCGGCGCTGTATGACCGGTTCAAGATCACGACTTGGCCGCGCCTGCTTGTCTCCCGCGAGGGTCGGCCAACCTATTATCCACCACTGACGCCGCACGAGATGCGTGATACGCGTCGTGTTCTTGATTGGATGAAATCTGTGTGGCTGCCTATTGTGCCAGAGCTGACCGCATCGAATGCTCGCGAGATCATGGATGGCAAGCTGGTGGTGCTTGGCATTTTGAAGCGTGAGGACAAGGAGGCGTTCGCAATTGCAACGCGCGAGATGAAGAGTGCTGCCAGCGAGTGGATGGACAAGCAGATTCAACTTTTCCAACTTGAGCGACAAGAGTTGCGTGATGCGAAGCAGCTGCGCATCGAAGAGGCCGAGGATCGTAACGACCAGCGCGCCCTACGCGCGGCTAAGAGCATCCGCGTCAATATGGACCGCGCCGACAAGAAGGAGGTGACGTTCGCGTGGGTCGACGGCGCTTTCTGGCAGCGATGGGTGCGTACGACGTACGGTATCGACATTAAGGAGGGCGAGCGCGTCATTATCAATGACGAAGATAACCGCCGGTACTGGGACATCACATCGACTGGCAACCCCATTCTGCCATCTCGCACGTCCATCCTCGAGACACTCAACAAGATCACTCAGTCACCGCCTAAGATCAAGCCCAAGTTGACCATCTCAGCCATTGAGAAGCTGTTCTTCGACATTCGCATGACCTTTTCTGAGCACCCATACTTGTCCATTGGCTGTGTTCTGGGTATATCTCTGGGTGTTGCATCGTGGCTACGTGGGCGGATTCGGCGCAACGGTGGTAGTCTGGGCCACTTCCGCTTGGACGAGGTCAAGGATTACAAGTTACCCATGCTGAGCTCAGGCGTCAATCCTGCCGGTAAGAATGACTAAAGCGGCTGGAGAGAGGCTCCTTAGATGATGTATATGCAGTTGTACTTTTTGGCGTGGAGTGTTAACAATCTTTTAATCGTCCCTATGTTTGTCAATGCACTTTTTGCCTTCGCTTTTCTTTTTTGTTTTTCTTCACTGCCCTACATTTTTTTTAGTCACGGAGTCTGGCCTGCTTTGTTCTGCCGCATTTGTTTTCTCCCCCTATTTTACTTCTTGGTCTATTATATATAGTTTGAGGGTTTTCTGTAAGTTAGACATTCTTATTTGTTTTGTAATGCTCGCAATAAAATAAAGTATTTTTAATCTTGAGCCTCCCAAAAGTGACTCACGAATCTGGTTTATTGCATAATATGTCTTTAACCGAACAGTTCATAGACCATGATTGCGCTTGCCGAAAATCTCTCCTCAAAAGGGCAAGCAATATTGTCGTGTCTGCCGTTTCGTTTACGGCTACGGCAACGCAACATCTCACTCCGAGTGGTCGGGGGTTAACATTGACAACTGCAACTACAGAAACTGTTGACGTTTTCATGTTGTGGATGTACGCCGGGCATATTACGACAGCGCCAACAGCAGCAAGGCGCTTGGGTGCAATATCAAACGCGTTCCGAAGGACCCTGCCAATTGCCAAGTGTGGCCCTGCGCGGCCAGCTTCTACTGTTCATCATCACGGCAAAAATATTCTTTTTGAACAAGGCCTAGTTCGAAAGCACCCGAAGGTGGGATTTGATCATCGAAGCCCGTCCTCGCTGATTGCACCAAAGATGGCGTCTCTCTCTGCTGGTCTCCGCCATGACCAGGGAAAGAAGGATAAGGGCGGTGCTGGCTACCTAAACTTTGCAGCCATACCTCAGACATACGATGGTGCTTTGCGCCTTTTGTCACTACTGCCGACAAACCGTGATGTGACGGCCCTCTTTGAGACGCCTCCCAAGGGTGAAGATGGCGCTCCATTCGACTTCAACTCTCTTGCGGTCCCGGAGGTCGTCGCGTGGATGGCTCGTGCGGGCTACTCCGATATACCGAAGGATCTGGCGCCCTTGAAGTGTATCCACATTGCGGGAACCAAGGGGAAAGGATCTGTATCGGCCTTTACCACGGCCATTTTGGTGGAAGCGGCCAAAACTAACGGTTCCACTGTCGGCCGGGTCGGCACCTACCTTTCGCCTCATGTCGTCTCGGTCAGGGAGCGCATCTGGCTGGATGGCAAACCCATCAGCCGTGATCTGTTCACCAAGAACGTCTTTGACATGTGGGCACGGCTTAGCGAGGCAGCAGCAGCAGCTGATCCCTCTGATCCGGATCCTTACGGCGCACATACAAAGCCATTTTACTTCCGGTTCTTGACGCTGCTGGCATTCCACATTTTTCTACAGCAGGGGGTACGTTCGGCTGTCATTGAGTGCGGGATTGGGGGCGAGTACGACGCAACCAATATTTTACCTGCCACGTCCGTCACTACCGCTGTTGTTACGCGTCTTGGTATTGACCATGTTGCTATGCTAGGCCGCACTCTTGAAGAGATAGCGTGGCACAAGGCGGGTATTTTCAAAGAGGGAGTTACCGTTTTCACACTACAACAAGGCCCTGGCGATTACGAGCTGAGCGATAAAGCAATGCCGCCCGGAGAGAGCAAAAAGGACAGAGAAGCTGCTGTTGCTGTTCTCCATTCGAGAGCCGCAGAGAAAAATGTAAAGGACTTACACGAATTGCGCCCAGACGTCGTCGCTCAGTGGTCAGGGGTTCCGGGTGCTAGCCTGCCTGGAAAGTTCCAGAAGTTTAACATGGCCCTTGCAGTTGCTGCTGCCTGTCACCACCTGTGCAAAGTGGGCATTGCAGGCGACAAGGCGTTCGATTTAACTGCCGCTGTTTTCGACCCGTCCAACCTCCCGGAATATTACGTGTCTGCCTTGGCGAAGGTTACACTTCGTGGCCGTTGCGAAAGCATCATGGATACACAAAGAGGGTCTTGCTCAGTGCAGTACATCGTCGACGGCGCCCACACGGCTGACAGCTTGGGGGAGGTGGCGCGATTTTTTTCCGCCCGACAAAGCACCATCGACAGTGCCTCAACAAAAGGTGTGGTAGCTCCACGGTCAAAACGCATACTTCTCTTCAGTGTGCGTGATCGCAAACCGGGCGACCTTATACGAGCTCTTCTGTCAGGTGCCAACGACGGAGGTAAAGCAACAAGTACTACCTTTTTCGACGACGCATTTTTTGTGTTTCCACCAGAGGCTGAGGCAGCGCGCGCAGAAGCTCTCGTTGCAATGCAGGCCGTCAGTCCAGACACGGTTTGCCAGGCCGTCGACACTGTTGCAGCTGCGATTGGTCAGATTCGTGCTCTTGCCGCTGAGCCTGTGGATTGTTTTGTTGGCGCTTATGCAGATGCTACAGCCATCCCATCACAATCGTGCCATGTCCTGGCTACGGGAAGTTTTGTGCTGGCGCGCGAAGTGCTCCAGGAGTTGGATGCCGAATTTGAAGAATAGGTTGATCTTGGCTTGAGTTCTCAGGAGGTTGTCCACGATTGAACCCGATGGGTTGATCGTGCCATTGATGTGCCTGGTCCGCTCCCCAAAAGGCCCGCTTCCCAAAAGGCCCGCTTAAAGCTGGTTCGGCCCGCGAACCAACGGGCGCCATTTCAAACCAACCCCACGAAGCGGAGGATGTTCTTCTTAGCCGCCCGCGTTCTCAAGAGGATGACCTCCTGCTGAATCAATGATTCTGTTATGAAAAATGACAACCAATGGAAAATTGCAGCTGTTAATTTCGTTTCCTGCCTGATCCAGAATGCGGCTGTGCGGCGTATTGCGCCCAAAATTGAAGGATGCTTGAAAAGGCACCAGTCCGCCCATGTCCTGTTACTTTTGGTTACTTTTGGGCACGGTACTTTACTCCGAATTTGCAACGTCTTGAGCGACACCATTTCATTTCTTCGGAATAACATATCTTCAACAATCTTGTGCCCTCATCCTTGCTGGCAGTGGCTCATTTTAAATGGAGGCGCTTGCTGTATTTGGGATTGCTTGCAATGTCATACAGGTCATTGATTTCACACGAGAAACTATTGCTATATGCAAAGAAATCTACAACTCTGGAGTATACTTCGACCGCGATGGCTACGTTGACAAAGTTGCTCACAAATATGAGGGGCTTTGTTACGAACTGCAACTGAAACTTAAGGATGAAGGCGACGATTTTGATCCCCATGCGAGGGAGCTACTTGATATCGCCCGAGACTGCCTTCGTGCCTCAAATAAGTTGAAAATTGCAGCCGGAAAACTGTCACATTCAGCAAAGGGTAACGCTTTGCGCTCCTTGTTTTCTGGGGTTTCCGCCAAATGGAAAGAGGGACGTCTGACGAAACTGGAGGCCGATATCAACAAACACCAGGCTCGAATGGAGTCTCATCTATTGATGAAAGTATGGTAAGCTTTGGTATCTTAACCATTTTCTTACTCTTGAAAGCTAGCCTTTGCGACTCTGAACCATTTCTGACTCCAATTGTCTTGTGCAGCAAAACCACCGATGCGATCGCAATCCAGCAGAACGCCAAGTTTTATGCCCTTGAGAGCACGCTACGGATATTTATCGCAAACATCGCCCAAGGACAGAAATCTATCGAACACCTCATCGAAGCACAGAAATCAGCCATCAATGTGCACATTTCCGAGGAAGTTGCAGCTCAGACTAATGCGATCAAAGAACACATCACAAGAGAATTCGAGACCAACAAACCTAGGACGTATGACGCTATCGACGATGCACAGCAAGCCTACGAGAAGCTCATGAAGAGCCTTCGATGCGACGGACTAAACGATCGAAAGAGTCAAGTCGTGCTCTCTCACACCGGAACGTTCGAATGGATTTACGACTCTAATAAGTGGACATCTCGACCTGGCACTTCCAATGACAAATTTACGAACGGAACCACGGAAAACGGACATGAACAACACATTGACGACCACTCAAGTCATACGTGTGGCCCAGCGTCCTCGGCGCGCTTTTCTTGTTTTCCTTGCTGGCTCGTTGGGGTTCCTGGTAGTCCATACTGGCTTTGCGGGAAGGCTGGCTCGGGGAAAAGCACACTGGTCAAATTTCTTATGAGCCATAAGAACACAATACGGCTGCTGGAGAAAGCCCACGGTCCCACCTTGATCGTAGCACACTTTTTCTGGCTTTCTGGAAGCCCAATTCAACGCAGTCTAAGAGGCGTCGCGCTGTCTCTGCTCAGCCAGCTTCTGAGCCAGATCGAAATTGAGAATGAGCAAGAGGAGGTGGTGATGGAACCAACTAGACGACGTTGGACCCAAGAAGCTGTTGGCGCCATTCTTCGGGCCGTGCCGAGCGCTTCCCGGAAAGTTTCTGCACAAGACTGGTCCTACGAGGAACTGTGCGGTGCTACTGAGGCCCTGCTGGAAGCATCTCCTTCCACAGTGTGCATATTTCTCGATGGATTAGATGAGGCTGACATGGACGTTCAATCGGCTAGTCCCAAGCCTGTGTTATCGTTCGTCGACAAGCTCTGCCGCTTGCCCCGTGTCAAAGTATGCATCTCGAGCCGACCGGAGCCTGCCTTTCATTCCAAATACTACAAAGATCCGCAGCTTTTGGTACAGAACCTTACCCGTGACGACATAATGGCATACGTCGTGGACAATTTTGAATCACAATTACCACCAAGCTGGAATGAAGACGATCATAACAAATCGATGGTGCAAGATCTGGCAGCCAAAGTTTGTGAATACTCCGATGGCGTGTTTCTCTGGGTCCGTCTTGTCATGCGGAGTCTCCTCCAAGGACTTGTCAATGGCGACACACTCACCCAGTTGCACGAGCGATTAGAACTGCTGCCACGCGATATCAACAAACTTTATCAAAATATGTGGGATCGCCTAGATGAAGGAGACCAGCAGATCTACCAACGAGAGGCCGCACTTTACATCAACATGGCACTTGACAGACTCCAAATTAGTTCGTACATACCTCTGGGCGACGCGAAGGCAGAGCCTCCTTTAAGCGACATCCAACTATATGCTGCCAATCATCTGGGCGAAGTACAGAGTCTTTTTGCAAATCCTAGCAGGCACTCAATACAAACGATACAGTCACAAAGCGCCAAGTTCGGCAAACGTATCGAGACACTGACGGCCGGATTATTGGAAGTCGCAACCGTTGCTTCGTCATCTCTCAAAATTGGACAGATTGGTTTCATCCATCGCTCTGCCAAAGAATTCTTTGTTAATACAGTTGAGGGGCAGCGCCTCTTAGCAGCAGACACGACTACTAAGGCGTGGCGGCTCGATGGTATTCTACGAGGCATTTTATGTCGAAAGTGGATTGACTGGTTTGAAAAAGAATCATCGATTTCATTGAAGAGCCCGCTTCAGTTCAAGGTAATCTATGATTTCATGTGGGCTGTTGTTGGTGCCTTCCACAACGGATATGTGGACCGACAGCAGCAGCTGTCTCTCATACATCTGTGTGAACGGGCATTTTTTGCGAGTAACCAACTCACAGGGCGCCGTATTAAAGCTGTTGAATGGAAACACCCCGACGAAAACTTCTTAGGGCCGCTGATCGAAACACATGACTTTACTGATTTCATTATTAGACTTGGAGACCCGGAACTCCTTGTGTCATGTCTCGGGGCCGATCTTGATGACACGGAGCGCCTTATGCGGGTTGCTGACAGCAATTTGTCTCAAGAGAAATGGCCGATGGTATACTCGCAAGACTACAAAGCGTTTATATTGTACAATTTGCTAAGGAACCACTACTTAGCAAGAGGCGGCGGTTCCTTTATGCGAAACTACGAGTCAATCTTCTGGATGCTGGACCAGGGAGTTTTCGAAAACTGGCCACAGGGAAAGGCGGTCGCTGGTAACGTCGCAGGTCTTGCCGGAATGTCTGTTTTGGCTCTTTTGGGGCATTGCAAGTACGAGTTTGAACTGCAGTTCCTCATGGTTTTACAGCGATGTCTGTTGTTGGAAAATGCCTGGACCGAAAATCCAGTATTCACGATAGAGGAGTCGCTGCCGCGCACTGGCGCTTGCACTATCCTCGAAAATCCATTATTTGGGAACATAAGTCCCTTTGGGGAGGATACGCCTTCTTATCGCTTGCTATGCCAGGTATCGATGCCCTTTGCGGTGTTGGCTGGTCTTGAATCGATTTGTACCGATGGCAAGGAGATACAGCAGAGAGTGAGAGAATTGAGAGATGAGGTCTGGCGTCGGTATCCAGAAGGACCGCCCCCAGCAAAAATATTTATGTTGACATGGCACGATCACGACGACAAACGGGACTGCCCGCCTCTCGACGTTTCGGAGATGAGCTGGTCATCACTGTCTCTTGCTCAATTTAATGCACTCAGGAAACCTGGCAAGGTGGGACCCTTGGAGAACGACGTGTTTGCAGCAAACACAGAAACATGCAAATCATGGACATCACTAGAAGGAATGCTTGAAGAGATCAAGAGAAGGATGATGGCATGAAGGGGTTGTTGCTTCGCTGATAAGACCATAGTGTCATGAAAAGAAAACAGATAGTATAATACAAAATCCCAATTCTAATTTAAACATTCACAAATATTATGACATCTCCTCGGATGCCTGGGGTATTGGCATTTGTGTCGAGGCAATCCAGTTTTCCATGGCAGCTTGCCCCCCGGGTTTTGTAGGTTCCAGGCTAGTCGACGAATTTCCTGGTCGACTGCCACCGACCGAGGTTGGAAGAACAGTCTGCGCACCTCGGCCACGAGGCGGACCACGTCGCTTTACCACGAGGCACAAGACGCGGCCGTAAATGGCAAAACCTTCGTAGATGACGTCCATAGCTAGCTTCTTCTTCTTGCGGCTCGCCTCGTCTTCATTGTCTGCATCCACAGGGACGACCCGCGAGCGTTTTGACGGAGGTTCTTCGTGGTCATCATCGTTCTCGTTGTGGCTCATGAATAGTGAGTCGTTGTCACTTTCGACCCCCTCACGATTGTCAGCGCCGTCTTCATCGTCACCACTGTCCCTGACCTGTACAGGGTCTTGTCTTTGGCGTTTGGACCGCCGTGTCGTAGCATCTGCAGTATCAACACCCCCCTCTTTGTCCTCTTGGATATCAGGAATATCCTGCAGGGCAAACGGGACTTCGTCGTCGCTGTCTTCCAGAAGCAGATTTGGCGGGACTTCCCTGTCAGGCTGTTGCCTTGTGCCTCCCACACTTGCTGCCGTCAAGACAACATCTTCGTCTCCATCGCCGTTCTCGACGTTTCCATCTTGGTCGAGCTCGACCCGCAGGTCGCCATTGCCACCGTCCTCTACATCAATGGGCGCGTCGCTCGTCCCACCGGTGAGCTTGGACGAGTTAGAAACCAGCCGCGTTTGGGTTTTGTCGCGTGCGCGTCGATGCTTGAACAGCAACGAATGCCGTGTATTTGTTTCTGTAAGAAATAAAGACACCTCAAAGTCCTCTGCACAACACAAGATTAGTTCATTAGCCATAGCGTCACGGTGTGGATGTTTGACAGTTACCGTCCGCCATTGCATACCTTCGACAAGCACGTCACGAATCGCACCCTTCTTCTTTGTGCCCTTTTTCTTTGCCCGTTCCCTTTCTTCCATTAATTTCGGAAGTACCAAGGGCCGCACGCTCTCAATGACACGGGGCAGCACTGGATCGCGGGGGTGCAGCAGCCAAGACTGCACGAGGGCCGGGTTGTCGACGTAGATGCGGCACTCGAGCACCGAGTATTTGCTGATGCGGAGATATCTTCGAACAGGCACCATTGTACGACGTGAAATTGACCGTCGTTCGCGATGTCGATGTTTGGGCTGTGGGTTAATAGAGGTCAGTTTGGGAAGTCGCGATTCTGGAGGTGTTACCTGCCGTCTGGCGCAAGGCTGCAGTTGTGGACTATGACGATGCTGAAGTCGTTAGTGGGTCCCCTGAAATGTGGAGAAATCTCCATCCCGCAGTCGGTTTCGGACCCACTTTAAAATTCAATTGGGGCATCAAACGCTAAAGTCCAAAATCAACATCGAGAAACATCTCCACCACCACTTCGATGCCATTGCTTCCGCACATACCCTCCTCGGTTGCTTAGGGCGGTGTGCTGTTGTACGCACATTGTATGGGCTGCGGAAACAATGTCAAAATCATGGGCATCGACGCTGAGGCTGCCCAAATCGACATTCCCGTGAGTACGCTATTTCATCTGATCTCCGACCTACTCCATTTTATCGTCGTCTGACTCGTGTGATTTCCCCATCCTAGGCCCCGGCCGCTGGCTGAACACCGACCGCTGTACCTCCAACGAAGCACCGACGAGCTGTACAAATGGCAGCAAGCGAACCGCCCCGACAATGACCCCTTTGTAGTCCACGATGGCCCGCCTTATGCCAACGGCAAGCTGCACGTCGGCCATGCCCTCAATAAGATTCTCAAAGACATGAGCTTGCGCGTCAAGATACAGCAAGGCCGACGTGTGCACTACAGGCCAGGGTGGGACTGCCACGGGCTCCCCATCGAACTCAAAGCCCTCGCAACTGCGTCGGAGTCCTCGTCCTCTTCGACAGCTGAACTCACACCGGTTGCTATCCGAAAAATTGCGCGCGATCTCGCCTCACGCACAATTGTCGACCAGATGAAGGAGTTCCGGAGCTTTGGTGTCATGGCCGACTGGGACAACCGATGGACCACAATGGATCCAGAGTACGAAGTGCGCCAACTGCAGCTTTTCCAGACGTTGGTGCACAAGGGCCTCATCTACCGCAAGTACAAGCCCGTGTACTGGTCTCCGTCGTCCCATACCGCCCTTGCCGAGGCCGAGCTCGAGTACAACGACCGTCACGTATCCACGGCCGCCTACGTCAAGTTTCCCATCCTGCCAGGTGCTGCCGTCCCAGGCTACGATGGGAGCCGGCCGCTGTCGGCCGTAATCTGGACAACGACGCCCTGGACGCTCCCTGCGAACGAGGCCATCGCTGTCCACCGGGATTTTGAGTACGTTCTTGTACAGCTTGGGGATGAGTTCCTTCTTGTGGCGGACTCGTGTTTGGAGTCCTTTACGGCTGCGTGTTGCCCCGAAGGCACGCCTCAACCCAAAGTGATTGTGCGGTCGATTCGAGGCTCCGATTTGACCCAGCTGCAATATACCAATCCGCTACGCGGCAAGAGTGCCAAACCTCAACCGATTATCCATGCAGACTTTGTCTCGGCTGGATCTGGTTCCGGCCTGGTGCACACTGCGCCCGGCCACGGCTTTGACGACTATGTGGTGTGTATGCGACTGGGTCTGCCTATCCCGGCACCCGTAGACGGAGAGGGCCGCTTCACATCCGAGGCATACCCGGATGACCCCTCCCGTCTCGAAGGCTTGTCCGTCCAGGGCGAAGGCAATAAGGCCGTCCTTGCAATCCTAGGCGATGCCGTCATCACTATGCACCAATACCGCCACAAGTACCCGTATGACTGGCGGACCAAGAAGCCCATAATCATCCGGGCCACGGCGCAGTGGTTTGCGGACGTGGACCTGATCAAGGATCCGGCGGTGGCGAGCTTGAAAAACGTCCAGTTCATCCCTGAAACGGGCCGCAGTCGGCTTGAGAGTTTTGTCAAGGGCCGCAGCGAGTGGTGCATTTCCCGGCAGCGGGCCTGGGGTGTGCCCATTCCTGCACTGTACGGCGACGACGACAGCGTTGTCCTCACAGAGGAGACGGTGAAGCACATTTTGGCCGTAGTCAAAGAGCGCGGCACCGATACGTGGTGGTCCGACGCAGCCGACGAGGCGGCCTGGATTCCCGAGGCGTTGCGCAAAGCCAACCCGGGCGTTGCATACCGTCGCGGCAGCGACACTATGGACGTGTGGTTTGACAGCGGCAGCAGCTGGACCCAGGCTGCCAACGATGCGCAGGCGGATGTCTACCTCGAGGGATCCGACCAGCACCGTGGCTGGTTCCAGTCGAGTTTGTTGACGCGTGTGGCAGGACTGAGTAGTGCGGCCACCTCATCGTCCTCGGCTGCGAGTCCTGCGACGCTGTCTCCTTTCAAAACGCTCGTCACGCACGGCTTTATGCTCGATGGCGCGGGCAAGAAAATGTCCAAGTCGCTGGGCAACATTGTAACCGGCGCCGAGGTCATGGAGGGTACGCTCTTGCCGCCCATCAAGGAGAAGAAGAAGAAGGGCCGCGGCAAAGCCAAGGCAGCGGACGGTGCCTCCCCTTCCACCAACACAAACGCAAAGTCGAACCCGGGCAGCGCGACTGTTGTAAAGTACGACGCCCTCGGGCCCGACGCTTTGCGGCTGTGGGTTGCGGGCAGTGACTACACTGGCGATGTTGTCATGAGCGAGATGGTGCTTCAGGCTACGCACACGGCGCTCATCAAGTACCGCGTCACCCTGAAGATGTTGCTCGGTTCCATGCACGAGTCGGCTCGGACGACGCCGCTAACGACGGTCGACCACATTGCACTGCTGCAACTGAAAGACACGATGAAGGAGGTGGCTGCCGCCTACGACCGCTTCGAGTTTTACCGCGGCTTGGCCAGCCTCAACCGCTGGCTGACCAACGACTTGTCTTCGTTCTACCTCGAGGCCGCCAAGGACCGGCTGTACTGTGCCGACGGCGGCGGCGTCCTGGAGCCCATTTTTGTTGGTCTCACGCGGATGCTGGCACCGGTGGTGCCGATGCTTGTCGAGGAAGCCTGGGACCACGCCCCGGCCTGGTTGAAAGAGTACGTCGCGGCTCTCATTCTGTCTTGTTTGTTGGGACAATATACTGATACACCCCCCTTTAGGTCAACTGAACACCCTCTTCGGCAGCTGTACAGCGATTCTCTGGTCGGTGAAGACCGACTGCCGCGTGACACGAGTCCACTCCGGGCGGCGATCCCCGTCATCTTCTCTGCACACGCCGCGGTGAAGACGGCGCTCGAGAACGCGCGCAACGATCGAGTGTTGGGCTCGCCTTTGCAGTGCTCTGTTGTGCTTCGGGTTCCGGACGATAGCACCGCGCTGCCGTTGCTGCAAGACCACGCCGCCGAGCTCGATAGCATGTTTGTTGTCTCGTCTGTATCTGTGGTTGCCGCCGAGAGCGAGCCAGCTACTGAGGAAGTGAGCCCGGTATGGAAGTACACAGCACCCTTTGATGTCCAAGGCGGTGGGTCGGCCACGGCTGTGGTCCTGCCGCCCCAGAACGCCAAGTGTCCACGATGCTGGCGGTATGTTGCTGAGGACAAGGACCACTTGTGTAGACGCTGCGAAGATGCTGTGCAGCAATAGTTGTGGACGACAGGATAAGGATCGGCGAGCATGGCTGGAGCTGGGTATATTTGTAATGTATAAAAGCGATCCTAACGTAGACGATAAAAAGACGAACCACAATAAACAAACGATACCCCTCTATCCCCTCACGATAGTAGGCAAGTTAATGTCTTCTATGAAATGGGAAGTATGGACGGTCTTTAGCATCCACAACGGACAACCGCCAACGGAAACAATCTATCCACTCATCTCTTCCACGCCCACTGTGACGGGTTGAAGATGACCTCAAAGTCAACAACTTCGAATGAGCCAATGGCAGCGCTAAGATCGTAGTCACCCTCGAGCCCAGTCACCGGCAAGTCCTGCTGGGCGTCCGTCTCTTCATGTAAGTCCCACGAGGCTATGGTTCGGCCGTTGTCAGTGAAGAATACCTCCACGCTGAACAAGTCTTTGGCTGGCGCGTACCCGCCGGGAACGTCTTTGCGTGTAAAGGTCATGCCAATACCGTACTTGCCGCCAGGTTTGAACCGGTAGTGTTCGTCAATGAGCTCTTTGCCGCCCCACATATCATTGACGTAGCGGTGGCCGTCGTCGCCGTGCACTGCCAGACTGCCGCGGTGCCAGCCGGGTAGACGGAAGTGCGGGTACGGTATCACTGTAAAGCCCATGGCCAGGCTGACTTCTTTGCGGTTGCTACGGGCAATATGCACCTCGTAGTACGCTGTGAACTTTTCGCCTGCCTGCTGAGGCTGGTGTATGTTCGCCGCGTACACGGGAGGGAAGCTCACCATGCAATTGTCCGCGTTTTCGCGTTTAGTCTCGCCCTTCCACGAGCCATCGGTTTGCCGGGTCAGCTTGCCCCTGAAATTCGGCGGGGCTTGCAAGCTGAAGTTGCCATTTTGGATCGCTTGCCGGGTGGCCGCGTTGTCCTGCACATTCATCCTCGTGCTGATCGGGAATTGGGTGCACCAGTCCACACCTGCCTTGGCCTGCTCTTCTGTGGCATTGTTCACGGGCGACCGGTCCCAGCCGGAGAACAGGTTGGGCGGCGGTGGAAGCAGCGAGTTGTCAGGAACCGCCGACTCCCAGTCGTGCACCTTCGGGGGTGGTCCAGGCGGCGGAGCATAGTCACCGGAGCCGCTGCCACCGCCAATATACGATGGAGGAGGGCCGGCCGGGGGAGCGAAATCGCCGGCAGCACCGGCTGATGAGCTAGATGCCTGTCCAGGCGGCGGGCCCGGCGGTGGTGCAAAGTCGTCGTCCGGCGCCGCGGCAGCCGCACGGGAAGCCTTCTCAGGAGGAGGGCCAGGAGGCGGTGCATACTCATTGCGCTGCTGCGCCGGCTGCTGTTGTGGAGGACGTAATGGAGGCGCATCGTAGGTAGACGTTTTGCCGTTTCCGTTATTGGCCTGTTGGAGCTGCACGGGCCGAGACGGTGCGTCGCCGGCGGTCCGGGGTTCTTTGGATCCGAAACACATGGCTATTAATTCATAAAAAGGTGCGGCGGGAAGAAGTCGTTGGAAACTTGTCGAGGAAAATGAATGAGTTTTGTGAGACTCAGATGAGGATGTCGAGTTATTATGGCCGGGGAGCTTCCTCTTAATACGTATCGTGTTTCGGTTTTGGTTGCCAGAAATGTGCGATCGGGTTACCTCCACGAGAGTCTGTTGCAACTAAGAGGGAAAGAGTGACCGGCCTGGCAACAAGAATGTAATATCGCGGCTACCGGCAATACACCTGAAAAAGGAGACATTATTTGGAAGACGACAACTGGATTCCACCGACTGCGCATTTGTTATTAAGATGACATAGATTCCCATTTGGGGCAAAGTGTCGCCAAGCATGGCACTCAGCCACAGCCAAGCACCATTCTTAGTGGCCCAGCCGTTGTTGCCCTGTGTTAGCGGTCCGGTTGGCCCGTAATGCGCTGTAAATTGCGGTAAACCTGCGCCCGAGGACACATTTACTTAGCTCCTTTTTAGTGATTTGTCACCGCGGCTTGGGCGACTTGAACAGTGTTACCCTACCTGTGGCCCAAGTTCACTTATTACAGGGGGTATTCGGAACTCCAGAATGCCTTACAGCTACATTCGAGCCACAGACAATGTGCCTTCTGTCCCTCGTATTTCGCGCCGGGTTCCTTCCTTGTCCGGGGTCTTAAAGATACGGAGATATCAGTGCATCATACTTGTCAGACGGACATATCATACGTACGCAGAACGCAGACTACAATATCACTTATGCATCGTCGTTTGATACGTCATACATATGGTAACGCAGCCATCAAATTAATAAGGGACCAAGTACACTGATATGTTGCCACACATCCTGTTTTAGGCCCTCGTACGCCCTGTAGACATAATCATTCTTCGCTGGCATCGCTGGCTTTTCCGGTTGCCGCCGCGCCGGCCTTGTGCTCCTTGGCCCGCGCAATCACATCCACCCACTTCGCCGGTCGGATGCGTCCGCCTGGGTATGTGTTGTGCAGGTACGACTCCGCCTCAGCCGCCCAGCCGAGCAGCTGCTCCTCGGCACCCCATTCGCCCATCGCCAGCACGCCCATCGGCACGCGGCCCTCGCCCTGCTCGGGCTCCGCGTAGCCCATGGGGCACGACACGGATGGGCAGCCCGTCGTGTTGGACAGCCAGACGTACAACATGCAGTGCAGTGTCATATTGCCGTCCATGAAGCCGTAGACGTCGTCGCCGGGCAGCTTCTTCCATCCCGCCATGGGCGTCGTCGGCGTAAGCACAATCATCCCCGGGTGCTTTTCGGTAAACAGGTGGGCCATGTGGCGCATGAGCACGGTGCGCAGCTGGTTGAACTTGAGCAGGTCGACGGCGGACGCGTGCTGGATGATGGTGAGCAGGATGCGGTTCTGTGCGTTGAGCATGCCGGCCCAGTCGTCGCGGTTGGGCGTGGCGCGGTCGCGCACCTTGTCGAGCGACTCCAGCAGGCACAAGGGCCCGTGTGCGGCCTGGCCCTGGCTGAGCAGCGGGATCTGGATGTCGACAATCTCGTAGCCGAGCGCGTCACGGCAGTGGTCCACGACGCGGTTAAAGTGCTCGAGCACGACGGGGTCGGCGCGCGCCACCCACTCCCGCGGTACGCCGATGACGCGGCGCGCGTTGGTCGCAGGCGGGAGCGAGATGGCAAACTTGCCGGTCACGGGGTCGTCGGGGTTGGGCTGCGAAATGGTGCGGTACGCGGCCTTGAGATCGCTGACGGTGGCGGCCATGGGACCCTGGATGCACATGCTCGAGTCCACGACAACGGTGCGGTCGTGCGTGGGCTTGAGGCCGAACACGCCGTTGAAGCTGGGCGGAATGCGCACACTGCCGCCCGAGTCAGTGCCGATCGCGATGGGCACGATACCTGCACCGAGACAGGACGCGCCTCCAGACGACGATCCGCCGGGGTAATATGTCGTGTTGTACCAGTTCACGGGCGTGCCATTGCGGGGCTGATGTGTATGTTAGGCACCACGTCATAAAAGGGGAGGATGGGAATTTTCCGCAAGAGCAAACGTACATTACAGCCCGTAGTGTCCATGCCGAGCTCGTGCATGTTGTTCTGGGCCACGAGCAGAGCGCCGGCTTCGAGCAGCTTCTGCACCGTCCATTCCGTCTTCTTGGACGGTTCGCGCAGGCGTGGGTATCGCTTGCCAAAGTCATCGTCTTCCAGGCGCGGGTTGATACCGGCTGTCGTGACGTAGCCCTCGACGTCTATGTCGCACTTGACCGTGACAGGCACGCCGTCGAGCAAGCCCAGCGGTGAGCCGGCCGCCCATCGCGCCGCAGACGCCTGAGCTGCTGCGCGCACTTCGTCGACCTTGGTCACCAGAAACGCCTTCTCATAGATGGAGCCCTTGCCACGCTGAACCAGCGGCAGGAGGGCCTCGACGACATCAACAGGTGACAGGGCGCCGGACTTGTAGAGTGCGTTGTAGTCGGCAGCTGAGTAGTAGCGCACGTCGTGCTCCGTGTGCTGGGGCTCCAGAATGTCGGGGCCAAAAGGCAGGATGGTCTGCGCAGAAGCATCCTGGCCCGGCACTGCGGTGGGAATAACCCGAGGCTGAGTGAGATTGGCTGTCAGCAGTGGGCCAGCCTTACGAGGCGCTCGTGGTATCTTGCACATATGCAGTCGATGTTCGATGTGTATTCGCTAAGCACTCAAAAGACTCACTCTAAATGTCACGAGCTCTTTGTCCAGGCCAGGAATGTCCTTGACACGCCCGAAACCAGTGTTATGCCACAGAAAGCGGTTGAGATAACCGGAACGGGTCGCGCTTCACCGGATGTTCAGTAAAAATGCCGCGGAACAAGAGAAAACGAGAGGCATGCTGCTCTTGGACTCACAGGCCAGCCACAAGGACCAGCGGCAGACCGCGCACTGCCGGGTTCTTGTCATTAGGGAAGACATAAGTGAGGTCGTCGCCTTCTTTAGGCACAGGATAGTCAATGAACGGTCGTGCCGCGGCCATGGTATCGTCGTGTTGCTGTTGTATACGGTGTTGTGTAACGGTTAATGACAGATTCTTGCCGTGCTGGGATGTTGTGGTGGTCGTAGAGACGTCTGGAAAACAATTCGAGCAAAATTATGGTGAGGCAGTCGAAAGAAGTCCACCAGAAAATAAGAGAAGACGCGACCTTGCCCGTTTTTATTCCGAGACTGCAGAAACACCAGAGCCACAAAACATGTGGGATTGACGATAACGATTGGCGGCAAATCAAATATACGACCCTGAAGGATTCAAATCGATGCTTTGTATCAATAAAGACTAAGTGAGTCGGGCTTTTCAGCTTTGCTAAGGGGACCTTCAGTCGCGAGTTGTACTTTCTGCGAAAAGGCACTCGTATGCAAAACCGAGGCTGACATGTGCAGGGCTGAGAGGGCGGGACCTTCGTCAGGGTGAGATTGAGGGGGTTCGTTCATGGTGAGCCAATCATTGCTTGCATATGCAAGTGGTTAGTATTAATACTCGGTTTGGGGGAAACGTGCGACTGGGGCTAATCTCA